ACCTGGAATTCAGCAATTGAGAGGAATGCAGGCAGAGAGAGATGACCTAGAAGCCGGGCGCGGTGGCTCACACCTATAATCCCAGCACTTTCGGAGTCTGAGGTGGGTGGATCACTTGAGGTCAGGAGTTCAAGACTAGCCTGGCAAATATGGCAAAACTTCAACTCTACTAAAACATACAAAAATTAGCCAGGCGTGGTGGTGGACACCTGTAGTCTCAGCTACTCAGGAAGCTGAGGTAGGAGAATCACTTGAGCCCAGTAGGAGGAGGAGGTTGCAGTGAACTGAGATCCAGCCACTGCACTCCAGCCTGGGTGACAGAGTGAGACTCCCTCTCAAAAAAAAACAAAAAACAAAAAACAAAAAAACAACCTAGAGCTGGAAAAACAGGAACTCAGAGGTGGGCCAGGCATGGCGGTTCACACCTGTAGTCGCAGCACTTTGAGAGGCCGAGACAGGTGGATTGCTTGAGCCCAGGAGTTCGAGACCAGCCTGGCAGCATGGTGAAACCTTGTCTCTACTGAAAATACAAAAATTAGCCGGGCGTGGTGGCAGGCACCTATAGTTCCAGCTACTCAGGTGGCTGAGGTGAGAGGATTACTTGAGCCCAGGAGGCAGAGGTTGCAGTGACTGAAGACCACGCCACCACACTTCAGCCTGGGTGACACAGTGAGACCCTGTCTAAAAAAAAAAGAAAAAGAAAGGCCGGGCGCGGTGGCTCAAGCCTGTAATCCCAGCACTTTGGGAGGCCGAGACGGGCGGATCACAAGGTCAGGAGATCGAGACCATCCTGGCTAACACGGTGAAACCCCGTCTCTACTAAAAATACCAAAAAAACTAGCCGGGCGAGGTGGCGGGCGCCTGTAGTCCCAGCTACTCGGGAGGCTGAGGCAGGAGAATGGCGTAAACCCGGGAGGCGGAGCTTGCAGTGAGCTGAGATCCAGCCACTGCACTCCAGCCTGGGCGACAGAGCAAGACTCCGCCTCAAAAAAAAAAAAAAAAAAAAAGAAAAAGAAAAAAACAGTCAGAAAAAAGTCAGATGCAAAGAAAAAGAGAAGGAGGGAAAGAAAGAAAAAGGTGAAAATCCATCGAAATGAAACAAGGACCTGGGAGTCTGAAAGACAAGAGGAAGAAAGGAAAGAGAGAGAGGAGAAGAGATGAGAGAGAAAGGGTGAGAGTGAGAAACTGAAAAGGATCCGGGGGAAGAGATAGAAAGCAAAGCAGGTGGAAGAGCTGAAGCTGCAGAGGGCTGGATGCTGAGAGGGAAGGCTGGGCCGGAGGCTGGGTGTGGCTGTAAATGCTGGCGTTGATCTTCACATCCTGCCACTGAGGCAGCGATCATTCTCATCACCCCCCTGTTTTTTCAGGAGGGGCACTGGAAGGTCACAGATGGGTGGGGCTGGGGCTGGCCCTGGGGACCCCTGTTCCTCCTCCTCCTCCTTTTTATTTATTTATTTTTTATTGATTTATTGATTTATTGATTTATTTTGGAGACAGGGTCTCTTGTTCCGTCACCCAGGCTGGAGTGCAGTTGTGCAGTCCTAGCTCCCTGCAGCCTCAAACTCCTGGGCTCAACAAATCCTCTTATCTCAGCCTCCCGAGTAGCTGGGACCACAGGCACACATCACCACGCCCGGGTAATTTTTTACAATTTTTTTTAGAGGCAGAGGTCTCGCTATGTTGCCCAGGCTGGTCTCAAACTCCTAGCCTTAATCAATCCTCCCTCCTCAGCTTCTCAGAGCACTGGATTACAGGCGTGAGCCACTGCACCCAGTCCCTGATCCTTTGTAAACTGGCTTTAAAGAGACGTCAAGGAAAGGAGGGTGATGAGATAGGAAACACATGAATGGACTCAGGCCCCACAGACAGAAGGAACAGAGCAGTTCCTGTTTCTACCTGCCCCTCCTGGAAACAACACGGAAATTAAAGAATCACCCAGACTTTAAATGAGATCCAACATTTTAATCGGTTTCACTCTGTGGGTGGGCAGAGAAGGGGGACCCAGAGGCCAGTGTGTGGGGAAGAGGAGGACAGAGAAGGTGGCACCTTCTCAGGGAGGCTCCTGGCTTCTTCCTTCTGTCCCCACCTGCCTTATCACTCTTCCTGGCTTTAGGACGTAGAACGTTTGAAATCGCCCGTGCACAGCTTGAAGAACCAGCACTCAGGAGCCCAGCCCAAGAAAAGCAACTTGTAACCTCCTAGCCAGATTTGGTTCCCTGCCGTCTCCGGCTCCTGGCGGAGTCTCAGAAGACCCCAGGATCAGGCTGTCTTGAAGTCTTACCCCGTCGGCCTGTGATGGGGGCCCCTTGGCCTCCTTTACTTCTCACTCTTTCCCAGAACCTTGCATCCATCTTTCAGTCCCTCCCTGACTCCCATCAAGTTTCTATGACTTGTTTGCACAAGACGCAGCCTCCCTGGTGAATAAGGAGAAGATTCTCGTCCACGCCTGAGTCCCGGCCTCCAGTGCAGAGCTTCAGTGTCTCTGAAGAATGAAATTTATAGTGGATTCTGATCCCAACGTTTGCACAGACCCAGAGCACAATGTCATCTCATCCCTGCCCCTCCCGTGTGAATTTTGTCTAGCTCCCCCAGCCTCCCCAGTGACATATGTTGTCTTCCTCTGTCTATATTTTCATCCCACACTGGACTCTTGAGCCACTCCTGGGTTATTTTTGTTGTCGTCATGATTGAGACGGAGTTTCGCTCTTGTGACCCAGGCTGGAGTGCAGTGGCGCAATCTCTTGCTCTCTTCAACCTCCGCCTCCCGGGTTCTAGCAATTCTCCTGCCTCAGCCTCCCGAGTAGCTGGGATTACAGGCACGTGCCACCACGCCCGGCTAACTTTTGTATTATTAGTAGAGACAGGGTTTCACCATGTTGGCCAGGCTGGTCTCGAACTCCTGACCTCAGGTGATCCACCTGCCTCGGCCTCCCAAAAGTGCTGGGATTACAGGTGTGAGCCACCGCACCCGGCCCACTCCTGGGCTTAGTGTCCCAGAACCCAGCAAGACTCAGGCCTATGAGAGATGAACATGTTTTATGTTTAATAAAAGCCCCTCTGTGGGCTCTAGAGATCAGGGTGTGCCCCTCAGGGGTCTAGGCTGTATGCACCTCTTCTGGTCTGGTGCTGGAAACGTCATCTGACGCCTCTAGGCCTCTCTCCTCTCCGCCTCTCTTCACACCTCGCCTTTCTCCTGACCCTGGGGTGCTGCTGACAGTGTGCCCCGGCTCTGAAGTGTATATTGTGCCCTATCTTCTTCCCAACTCTTAGTTCAGCGACCTCAGGTTGCTAGCTTGAAGTCAGCCATGGTGGGAGTATTTACACCACGGAAACTGACAAACACTCCACAACCAAGCTCTTCCTCTTCCTTGGAGAGCCCATTGTTAGACCTCTGCCAGCACACCACTGCCTTCCTGCCCTACTTTTTTTTTTTACCCCTTGCCTTGTGAACTCCACCAATGAGCGGCTCTTGGATCCCGCCTCCCCACCCAAAAATGAAAGGAGAACTCAGACTGAGGAGGCAGGGAGCCAGCACCCAACTTCTGAGCATCAAACGACTTCAGTCCGTCTTCAGGTTCTCACAAGGGCTTGCCTGTGTCACCATGAGTAAAATTCTATTTCAAGAAATAATGGTGCCACCCCAGGAAATGTCCTCAAGTCAAGCTCTATTTTCCAATCCCACCATCGAAACTGAACACCAAAAAAAAAAAAAATCTAAAAAAGGAAATGTATTTTTGAAATGTAGGAGTGCCTCCTCCAAATCTATGTCCCCCTCTTCCTGTCTCTTGTTTATTTACAGATGGAGGCTATCCAGTTGCTTCTTCTCTGTGAAATAGCCATAACTACAGGTGGTACGTCCCATGCAGCTACCCCAATTCCACCAGTGTCTCACCTTTAGAAAATCCTACAACAAAAGAAAAAAGAAGTAGAGATGCAACAGGCAAGCTGCGTTTCATTTCCCTACCAAATATACACATTCCCAATATGCTAATGAGCAAATGAGTGATAAAATGTCTTTTTAAAGAAACTAAGAAGAAAAAGGACATATATGTATAGCTACATATATGAATATAGATCTTTGTCTCTCAAACAGCCCCCTAAACCTACCAGGTAAGCCTGACATTTGTGAAGTCTGTAAAATTCCCAGATGATTTATTTTTAATGTAACTGCATCATTGGCCTAAGGTTTCCCGATGGGGCTTCTTAAAGTCTGTCTTTGGAATTTCTAGAAAGGTCCTTAACCATATGCTAAAGAAGTGTCCACACGTAGGGCGGGGCACCGTGGCTCACGCCTGTAATCCCAGCACTTTGGGAGGCCGAGGCGGGCGGATCACTTGAGGTCAGGGGTTCGAGACCAGCCTGGCCAACATGCTGAAACTCCGTTTCTACTAACAATACAAAAAACTAGCTGGGTGTGGTGGAGCACACCTGTAATCCCAGCTACTTGAGAGGTTGAGGCAGGAGCATCGCCGGAACCCAAGAGGCGAAGGTTGCAGTGAGCTGAGATAGCACCACTGCACTCCAGCCTGGGTGACAGAGCGAGACTCCGAGTCTCAAAGAAAAGTGTCCACGTGGAAAGTTAAGGAATCAAGCCCCTCTACCTGCTCGTTCAAGGGCATGGTGATTCTGACCTAAACATGACCCCAAATCAATTGCAAGTTTGGTTTGATTTCTTCTTGGAGCAAGTTCTCAGCACCACTTTCTGAAGCCTGGAGCTCGTGGTGTACTTCAGCAGTCACAGTCGTGCCAGACGGTGTTGGGGTTGAGAGAATCACTAGGACCTGCGAACTGTCCCGGGAGAGGGAGGAGCCTCTCCCTGTGGAGGAAAGGGGTGGACTCTGTAAGCTGAACACGGAACCGCGGAGACCACGGCTGTCGGAAGGACAGCTGGTTCCGGTTGCTTTCTCAGGGATGCCGTCCCGGGATCTAAGCTGCAGGGAAGCAGATTCGGAAGAGAAAGGGTCCCGAGGCCCGACGGGGAGAGATGGAGACTGCGTCCTCTACAAGATCTGAAACTTCCAGGCACTCTGATCCTTGTAGTCCAGAGGGTCCATGGGATTGTAGGTGAATTTCCAGGTGCCCGTGGGGTCCTTGAATTCCAAGCTATCCACGGGGCTGTAGGCGCCATAGCTCTGGCCTGATAGGGAGGTGGGGGACTGGGCCAGGGAAGGTCCCACCGAGGGGCCAGAGAGGGGGCTAAGAGCTGGGCCCCCTAACTGGGGCACCATGGGAGAAAGGTAGGGGTCTAGGCCACTGAAATAGGAGCTTGGAGACCCATAGGCGGAGGGGGAAGAGCAGAAAGCGGAGGCCGGGGCATAGGTCATGGCATAGGGGGCCGAGGTCAGAGACGGCCCCGAGGCCACCAGCCCAGCCCTCTGCGCCTCAGGCAAAGGGGACTCAGATGCTGGGCTCCAGATGGACACAGTGGCCACTGCCGTGGTTGGGGAGCCTGAGGGGCCGGGCAGAGGGGGACTGTAGGAATCTGAGATGCCCAGAGGGTCTGGACAAACATCCGTGGAGGGTCTTGGGGACGTGCCTGCCTTCCTCTTGGCAGGCCGGGCCTTGGCCTGGCCCCCTGGGGGCTGCTGCTGCTGTTTCTGCTGCTGCCGCTGCTGCCTGCATTTAGCCCTGCGGTTCTTGAACCAAACCTGCGGGGTAAGAGGGGAGATGGGGGTGGGTAAGTGGGGAAGAGGCCCAGGAGAGCCACAGGGTGCTTGGGGATGAGGACGCTTGTCGGTGAGAGGTGCTGGGGTCACATCTCTCTACTTTGCATCCAGCTGTGGGGCATCTATTCATCCATCCATCCATCTATCCATCCAATCATACCTGCATGTGTGCATGAACACAAACATACGTCATACCTACAGGCATTCTTCCATCCATCTAATATAAACATGCACACGTACCATTATGCATACATACACCATACGCACATACATCAAGCCTACATTTACCCATCTATATGATCATACATACATCATACACATATTCATCCACCCATCTAATACAAACATGCACACGTACAATTATACATACATACACCATACACATGTACATCATGCCTACATTTACCCATCTATCTGATCACACATGCATACATCACACACATATACATCATACATACATTCCCTGGTCCATCTGATCATACATGCAAGTGTACATACATACATCATACACACATACGTCATACATGCATTAATGGAGCCATTTGATCATACATACATACATCATATACATATTCATCCACCCATCTAATACAAACATGCACACGTACAGTTATACATACATACACCATACGCACATACATCATGCCTACATTTGCCCATCTACATGATCATACATACATCATACACATATTCATCCATCTAATACAAACACACACATGTACAATTATACATAAATACACCATACACAGATGCGTCATGCCTACATTTACCCATCTATCTGATCATACATACATACATCATACACATATACATCATACATACATTCCCTGGTCCATCTGATCATGCATGCAAGTGTACATAAATACATTATACACACATACATCATACATGCATTAATGGAGCCATCTGATCATACATACATACATCATACACATATTCATCCATCCATCTGATCATACAGATATACAATTATACATACATACATTGTACACACATACATCGTACACACATACATCATACACACATACATCATACATATATACACATTAATCCATACATACGATCATACAAACACATATTTCATTTATCCATCTAATTATATATACATGCATACACTCATATATACATAAATAAACCCATCCATTCATCCAATCATGCATGCATGCATGCATACATACATCATACCCTACAGGCATTCATCCATCCATCTAATACAAACATACACACATACAATTATACAGGCATGCACTATACATGCATGCATCATGCATACATTTATCCATCTATCTGATCATACATACTTCATACACGTATTCATCCATCTGGTCATATGAACATACAAATATCCAATTATAGGCACATACATTGTACACACATAACATCATACATAACTATGCACTAATCTAATCATACATACATACAATCACACAAACACATATATTTCATTTATCCTTCCAATCATACACATGTGTATATGCACATATACGTAACATCATACCTGCAGCATACAAACATACATGCATACAATTATACATACATACACTATACACACATACATTATGTAGACATCCATCTGATCATACATATATACCTCACACATGTATATGTTGTACAAACATTCACCAGTCCATCTGGTCATACATACATCAGACATACACTTATCCATCTGATGATACATACAATTGTACATGTACATCATATGTAGATTCATCCATTCGTCTTATACATATAATTATATGTACATACATCATACACACATACATCATACACACATTAATGGATCTATCTAATCATACATACATCATATGAACATTCATCCATGCATCTGATTACACAAGCATACAAATATACAATTATACACACATACATCATACACACATACATCATACACACATACACATACATCGTACACATATACACATTAATTTATCCAATCATACCTATGTCTAATCACACAAACACACACATTTTATTTATCTGTCCAATCACATACACCTGCATACACTCATATATACATAAATACACCAATCCAGCCGGACACGGTGGCTCACATCTGTAATCCCAGCACTTTGGGAGTCTGAAGCAGGTGGATCATGAGGTCAGGAGTTCGACACCAGCCTGACCAACATGGTGAAATCCTGTCTCTATTAAAATACAAAAATTAGCCCAGTATGGTGGTGCGTGACTGTAATTCCAGCTACGCAGGAGGCTGAGGCAGGAGAATTGCTTGAAGCCAGGAGGCGGAGGTTGCAGTGAGCCGAGATTGTGCCATTCCAGCCTGGGCGACAGGGTGAGACTCTGTTTCAAATAAATAAATAAATACACCCATCCATCCATCCAATCATGCATGCATGTATACATACAATTGTACATGTGTACATACATCATGTATACATATATCATGCATGCATACATTCATCATCTATCTAATCATACCTACATGCGTTCATACAAACACATATATAAATGTATCCGTCCATCATACACACAGACACTTATATATACACATACATACACTCATCCATGCTTCCAGTCATACATGCACACACACATATACAGTTACACATACACATTCATCTCTGCATCCACCCACCCATCCATCCATCCGTCTATTCAGTCAATGAACAAACATGCATTAACCATCTTCTGCTACTCTGAGGGTCCATCAGTGGAATTGACATTCTAGTTGGGAGAGACAGAGTCTAAATAAACGGACTCTGAGATACCTTACATAAACGTATGTATGAACGTATGATCATATGAACATACAAATATACAATTATAGGCACATACATTGTACACACATAACATCATACATAGCTATGCACTAATGTATCTAATCATACATACATACAATCACATAAACACACATACTTCATTTATCCTTCCAATCATACACATGTGTGTAGGCACATATACGTAACGTCATACCTGCAGCCTACAAACATATGCAACTGTATGGTATCTCAGAGGGCGATAGATACAAACATACGTAAACTGTATGGTATCTCAGAGGACGATAGACACTGTGGAGGAAACGACTGAGCAGGATAGTGGGCAGCAGTAGAGTCAGGGTCTTGGGGAAATACTGCAATGTTAAATGCTGTGTTCAGCATGGGTCTCACTGATTGATAAACAAGGCTCAAACAAGGGGCCTGCTGTGTGGTTATCTGGAAAATAAGGATTCCAGATAGAGGAAACTTAGTGCAAAGGCCCGAGGCAGGAGGGTGTTTGGCAGGCAGGTCAGTGCCCGGCGCAGCTGGAGAGGAGCGAGGGGCGATGAGAGCCTTAAGAGGCGGTCAGTGGTATAGTGGGGAGAGGAATTATTGCCTCCTTGATAACTTTGGCTGTCACTCTGTGATCGCTCCCTCCTCCCATCACTCTGAGTTCCGGGGGGCCCCTGGAAGGTCACAGGAAGGGTCGGGAGGGGTCCAGGGACCCTCCACCCCACCTGAACCCTGGACTCGGGCAGATTGATCTTCAGAGCCACCTCCTCGCGGGCATAGACGTCTGGGTACTGGGTCTTGGCAAACAGTGCCTCCAGCTCCTCCAGTTGGCTCCGGGTGAAGGTGGTCCGCTCCCGCCGCTGCTTCCTGGGGGCGCCTGGGGTGGGACGGGAAACAGGACCCTCAGGTCATCCACCATGGGCTGATGCGAGGCCCTGAGGCTGAGTGGGATGCCAAGAATTCCATCCCGGTTGCCATCTGCCTAAACTAAGGACGGAATGCACATTCCCTGCCCTTCTACGCCTTCCTCTGTGCCTGGCACTCTGTGGCTCCTGCCTGACCCCAAGGGGAATTGGCTTTAACTCTACGAGGAGGTGTGTGAGTCGTTTTCCCTCTTCTAAGCTTTCTCATGCACTAAGACATATTTAGTTGAAGCATGACATCGCTGACATTCAACCATTTCTAGCCTATAAAAGCAGCAAGTCTGGGCTGGGCGCGGTGGCTCACGCATGTAATCCCAGCACTTTGGGAGGCTGAGGCGGGCAGATCACAAAGTCAAGAGATCGAGAACCAACCTGGCCAACATGGTGAACCCTTGTCTCTACTAAAAATACAAAAAATTAGCGGGGCGTGGTGGCTCCCAGCTACTCGGGAGGCTGAGGCAGGAGGATCGCTTGAACCCAGAAGGCAGAGGTTGCAGTGAGCTAAGATTACGCCACTGCACTCCAGCCTGGTGACAGAACGAGGTTCAGTCTCAAAAAAAAAAAGAAAGTAGCAAGTCCACACCGCTCAAAGTAATGCAAAAAACAAAAACAAGAGCTAAAGAATAATGCTACAAATAACTGAGTGCTCACTTCTCTTAAAAATAAGGCTTTGGCCGGGCGCGGTGGCTCAAGCCTGTAATCCCAGCACTTTGGGAGGCCGAGACGGGTGGATCACGAGGTCAGGAGATCGAGACCATCCTGGCTAACACGGTGAAACCCCGTCTCTACTAAAAAATACAAAAAACTAGCCGGGCGAGGTGGCGGGCGCCTGTAGTCCCAGCTACTCGGGAGGCTGAGGCAGGAGAATGGCGTGAACCCGGGAGGCGGAGCTTGCAGTGAGCTGAGATCCGGCCACTGCACTCCAGCCCGGGCGACAGAGCGAGACTCCGTCTCAAAAAAAATAAAAATAAATAAATTAAATAAATAAATAAGGCTTTATGAAAATTAGCTGGGCATGGTGGCATGTGCCTGTAATCCCAGCTACTTGGGAGGCTGAGGCAGGAGAATCACTTGAACCTGGGAGGCGGAAGTTGCAGTGAGCCAATATTGCACCATTGCACTCCAGCCTGGGCAGGAGTGAAAGTTCGTCTAAACTCCATCTCAAAATAAATAAATAAATAAATAAGGCTTTGCAGGCCAGGTGCAGTGGCTCATGCCTGTAAGCCCAACATTTTGGGAGGCTGAGTCAGGTGAATTATTTGAACCCAGGAGTTTGAGATCAGCCTGGGCGACATAGGGAGACCCAATCTCTACAAAAAAAAAAAAATTAATTTTTTCTATGTTTTGTATAATCCAGATCCTGCACAATCTACAAAAACTTTAAAAAGTTAGCCAGGCATGGTGGCATGCACCTGTAATCCTAGCTATTGGGAGGCCGAGGCAAGAGGATCGCTTGAGCCCAGGAGTTCAAGGCTGCAGTGAGCCATGATTGCACCATTGCACTTCAGAGTGGACAACAGAGTGAGACATTATCTCAAAAATAAAATAAAACAAACAAACAAATAAACAAAGCTTTGCTGCCTAGGCACAATGGCTCACACCTGCAGTCCCAGCTACTCAGGAGGCTAAGGTGGGAGGATCGCTTGAACCCAGGAGTTTGAGGCTACAGTGAGCCGTGATCGCCACCACTGCACTCCAGCCTGGGCGACAGAGTGCGAGACCCTATCTCTGAAAAATAAATAAATAATAAAGTTTTGCTAACAGATGAAAATTCCTCTTGATTCCCCTTCCAAATTACATCCCCTCTTCCCCACCCCGAAAGGAACCTCTGTCCTGAATTTCTAGGACTGCACATGTTTTTCTAAGTGACGTGCATTTCAGATGAACCCAGAGGGCTGATATATGGCCCTGAAGTCACCCCTGTGACTGCTTTTTTCCTGGGGCAGAGGGACCCCAGAGGTCCTCTAAGAGGTGAGGCCAGCCTGGGATGCCAAGAGAAACGACTGTACTCACTTGGGTAGGGCACAGCCTGGTGCATCAGATCCACACTGGGGCCACTTAGGGCCAAGGCGTTGACGGAATAGTGAGGCCCCGGGTTCATATACGCCATCATGATCTTCGGGGACGCTGAGGCCCAAGTCAGGGGGCCTGCAAGAGAAGAGGAGGGATGCTCACTCATTTACCAGTTACTCACCATGGGGTGACAAGCAGGCTGAGATTCAAATCCTGCCTCCGTCTCCTCTTAGGTACGTGACCTTGGCCATTTATCTCACCTCCGTACCTCTGTGTCCTCACGTGTAAAATGGCCTCTGCTTAAGGTTCTCAGAACTTTCTTTTTTTTTTTTTTTTTTTGAGACGGAGTCTCGCTCTGTCGCCCGGGCTGGAGTGCAGTGGCGCGATCTCGGCTCACTGCAAGCTCCGCCTCCCGGGTTCACGCCATTCTCCTGCCTCAGCCTCCCGAGTAGCTGGGACTACAGGCGCCCGCCACCTCCCCCCGCTTGTTTTTTTATTTTTTTAGTAGAGACGGGGTTTCACCGTGTTAGCCAGGATGGTCTCGATCTCCTGACCTCGTGATCCACCCGTCTCGGCCTCCCAAAGTGCTGGGATTACAGGCTTGAGCCACCGCGCCCGGCCTCTCAGAGCTTTCTTGAGACTCTGCAAAGCAGAGAGCTGAAGTGATGACGCGCCTCATAAGTGCGAGCTCTTATTCCTACTCTACCCTCTAAAACAGTCTCATCCTGGCTGGGCACAATGTCTCACATCTGTAGTCCCAGCACTTTGGGACGCCAAGGCGGGAGGATCACTTGAGCTCAGGAGTTTGAGACCAGCCTGGGCAATATAGCAAGACCCTGTCTCCAAAAAAAAAAAAAAAAAAAGTGTTCTTTAAAAAGTTAACTGGGTGTGGTGATGCGTGCCTGTAATCCCAGTTACCCAGGAGGCTGAGGTGGGAGGATCACTTGAGCCCAGGAGTTTAGGCCTGCAGTGACCTGTGTTCAGGCCACTGTACTCCAGCCTGGGTGACACAGCAAGACTCTAAGAAAAAAAAAAAAAAAAAATCTGATCCCGTAACACTTCCTCATCCAAGATCCCTTCTTTCTGTGACCATGGGCAAACACGCTCAGCCTCACTTATAACCAAGGACTGCAGGTTGACCAGCCATCCCTGTTTGCCCAGAATGGAGGAGAGGTGGGTGGATCTTGGAACATAGGACTTTCAGGCTAGAACCAGAATGGTCCCAGCCAAACTGGATTGGTTGGTCACCCTAAGGGAGAGTGGCATTAGAGAGAAGAGCAGGCGCGAGAAGGGCGCGAGCCGGAAGCCGAGTCTGCACGGAGCGAGGCGGATCCCCTGAGGGTCAGGAGGGGCGGGTGAGTAGACGCGAGCGCGGCGCGAGCCATGGTGAAGACCGGGCCGGATGAAAAATGCAAAAAGAGAGCCAGCGGGGCCTAGCGCCGGGAATTCCAGGACTCGGGAGAGAGAGAGCAGAGAAGCGCTGAACCCGTGAGGCGGACTGCGAGGCCCGAGGGGATGCCCCACACCGCACGCCAGCCGGGGCGGAACAGAGCAAGGAACGGCGCTCAAAAAGCAGAAAACAAAACAGCAACAACAACAAGCAAACAAAAGAGAGCAACTTTAGCGAGAGAGACCAGAGAAAGCACTCGCACACCTGCCAATCCCAGCCGCGAGTCAAGGCAGGAGGAAGCACTTGATAGCCCCAGAAGCGGAACCAGCCTAGGCAAGATTAGTGAGACGCCGCCCAGCGCGAAAGAGAGAAAAAAAAAAAAAAAAACAGGGGGGTGCTGGATCTGCCGGGGCGGAGCGAGGGGGTTGACCTATCAGAGTTGGCCAAGAGAAAGGAAGGGAAACGGGCGGACAGCTGCGGAAGGGAAAGAGCGCAGCGCGGGCCCGAGCGAGAGGAGCAGAGCAGTACGAGGCACAAAGGAGCGAATCGAAAAGCGGCGAGCGCGGCGTTTCTCCTAGTGATTCACTCAATGTGATACTCGCAGGTCGCGCTTGTTGGAAAGTATGCGGAATGAAAATCGCATTTATGGGCCAGGCGCAGTGGCTCACACCTGTAATCCCAGCACTTTGGAACACCAAGGCAGGCAGATCACTTGAGGTCAGGAGTTTGAGATTAGCCTGGTCAACATGGTGAAACCCCGTCTTTACTAAAAATACAAAAATTAGCCGGGCCTGGTGGTGCACGCCTATAATACCAGCTACTTGGGAGGCTGAGGCAGGAGAATCGCTTGAACCCAGGAGGCAGAGATTGTAGCGAGCCAAGATGGTGCCACCACAACCTAGCCTGGGCTACAGACTCCATCTCAAAAAAAAGAAAAGAAAAAGAAAATAGCATTTATGTTCAGGTGGCAACATAGCAAAACTCTCCTGTCTCTACAAAACATTAATTTTTTTATTTTTAAAGTAAGCCTGGGCACAGTGGTTCATGCCTGTAATCTCAGCACTTTGGGAGGCCAAGGCGGGCGGATCACCCCCCAAAAAGGGTCAGGAAGCCTGCAAGACCACGCCTTGGCCAACATGTGTGAAACCCTTGTCTCTACTGAAAATACCTAAAAAAAGCTGGGCGGTGGTGGCAGGTGCCTGTAAATCCCAGCTACTCAGGACGCTGAGGCAGGAGAATCGCTTGAACCCGGGGGCAAAAGTTGCAGTAAGCCAAGATCGCGCCACGTGGTTACTCCAGCCTGGGTGACAGAGCAAGACTCTGTCTCAAAAAAAAAAAAAAAAAAAAAGCGCATAAGGCTGCTCTCTGAACTGATTTAAAGATCTCTAGTATACGGTTTTAACAATTGTTCTAGGGGGGGCGCAGCGCTCATGCCTCTAATCCCAGAATTTTGAGGCCAAGGTGGCCGGATCACCTGAGGTCGGGAGTTCGAGACTAAACCCGGCCAACATGGTGAAACCCTCTCTACTAAAATACAAAAATTAGCGGGGCATGGTGGCAGGTGTCTGCAATCCCAGCTACTCAGGAGGCTGAGGCAGGAGAATCGCTTGAGCCCAGGGAGGCGGAAGTTGCAGTGAGCTGAGATCACACCACTGCACTCCAGCCTGGGGACAAGAGTGAGACTTCATCTCAAAAAAAAAACAACCAGGCCGGGCGCGGTGGCTCAAGCCTGTAATCCCAGCACTTTGGGAGGGCCGAGACGGGTGGATCATGAGGTCAGGAGAGTCGAGACCATCCTGGCTAACACGGTGAAACCCCGTCTCTACTAAAAATACAAAAAACTAGCCGGCGAGGTGGCGGGTGCCTGTAGTCCCAGCTACTTGGGAGGCTGAGGCCAGGAGAAATGGGGTGAACCCAGGAGGCGGAGCTTGCAGTGAGCTGAGGATCTGGCCACTGCACTCCAGTCCGGGGGCGACAGAGCGAGACTCCGTCTCAAAAATAATAATAATAATAATAATAATAATAATAATAAATAGGCCAGGTGCAGTTGCTCATGCCTGCAGTCCCAGCACTTTGGGAGGCTGAGGCAGATTGATCACCTGAGGTCAAGAGTTCGAGACCAGCCTGGTCAACATGGCAAAACCCTGTCTCTACTAAAAATACAAAATTAGGCGGGCATGGTGGTGGGCGCCTGTAATCCCAGCTACTCCAGAGGCTGAGGCAGGAGAATCGCTTGAACCCGGGAGGCAGAGGTTGCAGTGGGCCGAGATCCCGCCATTGCACTCCAGCCTGGGCAACAAGAGCGAAACTCCATCTCAAAAAAAAAGTAATAATAATAACATAAATTTAAAAATAAAAATAAAATTAAAACATAAAAATTAGCCAGGCATGGTGGTGCATGCCTGTAATCCCAGCTACTTGGGAAGCTGAGGCAGGAGACCCTCTGGAACCTGGGAGGTGGAGTTTGCAGTGAGCCGAGATTGTGCCAGTGCACTCCAGCCTGGGTGGCAGAGTGAGACTCCATCTCAAAAATAATAAGTATTATTATTATTAATTAATTAATAAAATGAGGCATTGATTTTACTCATGTGTAGAATATACACTTGTATATGCATAGAAAATTCCCAGGAAGGAAGCAAGCTACTGGTACCAGTGACTGCCTCTGGGAAGGAGTGCTAAAGCCATATCTTGTTTCTATAGTTTGGATTCCTTTTTAATTGTGCATGTGTGCATTCATGTGTGTGTGTGGTTTTGTCAAAAGCAAAAACAACAATGAAATCTTCAAAAAAGCAAACAGAACATGAAAACCGTCTGAGGGTTCCTCATTGCACTCATTAGGATGGCCTCAGAAAACCTCTCAGCCTCCACAGCTATTTACATAAGCCGTTTCCTGGGCTAGGAACGCCTCTCCCTCACCCCAAAGCCCCTCTCACCAGCTAACCCCTTCTCCTCCAGGTCTCAGCGCAGCTACTTTCCCCAGAGAAACCAGCCTACGCCCCTGAACTGGATTTTACACACACACACACACACACACACACCCTACCTCCTTTTCTTCAAGACACAGCTTGTATTAAATGACATATTTATGTGTTTGTTTATCTATCTCTCTCCCTCAAATTCTATCAGTTACCTGAGTTCAGGGACTGGGAATATCTCGGTTCCTGCCATGTCCCCAGCACCCCCAATAAATATTTGAAACATAAGAAAAAGAATTAAAAATGGATGGCGTTGCCGGTCGCGGTGGCTCACGCCTGTAATCCCAGCACTTTGGGAGGCCAAGGCAGGCGGATCACGAGGTCAGGAGATCAAGACCATCCTGGCTAACATGGTGAAACCCCGGTTCTCTACTAAAAATACAAAAAAAAATTAGCCGGGCGTGGTGGCGGGGCGCCTGTAGTCCAGTTACTCAGAGGCTGAGGCAGGAGAATGGCATGAATCTGGAGGCGGAGTTTGCAGTGAGCAGAGAAAAAAAAAAAATTAAAAATGGATGGCGTTTATTTTCAGCCTCCACCCCTTCATTCTCTCACTGTCCTTCCTTCTCCATCCCTCCACGTGAGAGGAGGGGGACAGATTCTGTTTATTTAAGTGAGATTCTACTGCTCATTCAGTAAATATTTTTTGAATGCCTTCCCTGCTCTAGGAACTAGGAATATAGCAAGAAATAAGACCACAGCTTCTCTGTTCTCATAGAATTGAACTTCTTGGTTCCGTTCCTAGAGAAACCAATAATGAAACAAGGAAAAAA